GGTACACAATGATGGATACAGAATGATATTCAGAGATTTGGTACAAGCATGATAGAAAAGTACCAGGAATATGTTCGGTAGGTTCCTCCTCCTCCTCCTCCTCCTCCTCCTCCTCCTCCTCCTCTCCTCCTCCTCCTCCTCCTCCTCCTCCTCCTCCTCCTCCTCCTCCTCCTCCTCCTCCTCCTCCTCCTCCTCCTCCTCCTCCTCCTCCTCCTCCTCCTCCTCCTCCTCCTCCTCCTACCTTGTGGAAGCATTCCTGCACTTTGAGCTCCTCGATACCAGGACCAGTGTCGGTCACGGTGAAGCAGTAGCGGTTCGGCATGTCCTGCCGGGGGTAAGACGTCGACCTGGTAGAGGTCGACACGCGGTGCACCTGCGATGCAGGCCAGAAGCCAACGGTGAGCTTGATGGAGCCCTTGGAGGTAACGCGGATCGAGTTCTCGAGGAGGTGGTGGAGGACGCTAGAGCAAGGGTCATGGAGGAACCTTGCGGCAGGGCCGACGTCACCGCTTCAGATGCCTGGCGTCTCCCATCACTGAGTCGGGGATCTTGTCTGGCTTGAATGCTGCCTTGGAAACTTGCGAGAAGGGGACCGCTTCTCCTTCCTTCTCACCCAGCACGACGGAGCACACGACGTCCTGCACATCTCTGCGTGTCAGACTTGCACGCGAAGAACTTGCGACGTCCTCGACCTGCGATAGCCCGTGCTCTTCAAGCTCAGAGCAGATATCGGCAATGGTCTCCTTGATGCTGAAGGGGTTCACCTTGAGGACAGGTACCTGACAAGAAGAGTCTCATGCGTCGATACGAGAACTCTTCTCAGGCCACCTTGCCCATCTCGAACATGGTGACGTCAGCGGCATCATTGGCGATTCTCAACAATCTGTTCGTCTGCAGCTTCGCAACGCCGAACGCCTCAGTGAAGCTGCTCGCCGAGAAACCGTGAGTGCGACAGCATGCAAGCGCCTTGTGGACCTTGTGGCAAGTTTCATCTCCTTCATCTGCTCTTCCAGGATGGCAACGTGGTTCCAGAGGATGTGGCTGCGTCAAGGTCAGTGCTGATCAGGATAAGACCTCGTGTGCTCACCAGGGTGTTCTAATCTCGTGGAAGGTCTTCCGTACAAAGATGTCCTTTGCCCTATTAATGTCGTTTAGTTCCATCGAGCGAACATGAGAACATTCGGATAATCATGTACATAAGGAGGCAGATCCTCCCTGAGACCAGAAAGACAGAGGAATCAACTCACTTGGCGAGCTGCTGCTCCTTCTCCCTAGTCACCCTCAATCGCTCCTCACGGATCTGACCGAGATGCGTTACACGAAGGCAGCAAACGGCAAAAGCAAGAACCTTTCTTCCAGTATCATCGCGGATGAAGCATCGAGTGTGCTTGAACGTGCCTGCCGGTCCGGTCAGCCCATCAATCTCTAGGGAGCATCCTTGAATGCAAAGTTTGCCTACCGTCGGGGTTCCAGTTGACATTGGAGTCGATAAGCAAATCCTGTCAAATGGGTCACAACAATTCATGAGCATGCAAGCATCCAAACCCTGATTTTCCCCTTCTTGTCACGAAAGCGCACAGGCACATCCTAGACCAGAGTCAGAGCAGAAAAGCCAACAACGCCCATGGCCACCTTGATCGTGTTGCCAGATCCGAGAGTCTTGAAGATCTCGAGGACAAGCTCCTTCTCATCGGGGCAGAAGTTCATGATCGGCTGTCCGATGTACTCCTGTGGAACAGATCAACCCTCCAGAATTCCCGACCGCTCTCGTTCACTTCAGCAGTGTATCCGAGGATGTTGAGCTCGGTCTCGTTGGCCCAGAGCACGTGGCCGGTTCCACTCAGCCAGTGCATAGCGATAGGAGCCTTGTTCAAGAAGTCCAGCAGCTCTCTCTCAGAGGGCTGCCCGGTGTTTTCATGCGCCACGCTACAAGTCAAGAGAGAGTCAGCAAACGGGTTGAGCACGAGCAGGGCAAACCTCGCTGAAGCTGGGTCCATAATGGACATCCTACCCGACATTATGACGTGCTTGTCGTCGAACTTGGAGAGGGTCCAGTCGTACCTTGAGAGGGTGTCAGACTTGGAGCTTCCTTGCCTCACGAACCTTCTCCAGATCGGAAAGTCATTCGTTCGACCGAGCACGAGCGTCGAGCAGTCCCTGATCGTGGGAGTTTGCTGTGTAGCCGAATGAGGCTTCAACAGAGCGTGCCCCCTCCTTAGCGTCACCTTCCACTCTTCGAGATCAGACGCGTCTCCTGAGATGTCAGAGACTGGTTTATCTTGGATGACCTGCAGGAGGTTATTCTATGACGACAACCAACTAAGTTGGTGATAACATTCTCAAGAGCAATCTTGAAGCGCGTTCTCTCCTCGGTCTGAATGCAGTTTTCCACGAAGTCCAGCCCCTTGATCATCGTCAATGCAAACCCCAAGGTGTTGAAGAGTTTTCAGCTTACCAAAAGAGTCTTGGATGGCCCAACAGTATTCTGAAACTTGCGATTGCAGCTGATGAGTGCGCCTGGAACAAAGTGTCATCCCATCTCCTCCCCCCCAACTCATGATGCAACTGTAGCTTACATGTTTTGCTTTCAACTAGCGCAACAGCTTCTGGAGCATGGTCGAAGTATGCTTGGGCAAGCAGTTCGCGTGGATCACCCATCTGATAATCAGGACAATTGAGAATCACAAAGAAATGCAAAGAGCAGCTATGAATATCCACTCTCAAGATGCACCCTGCGCCACTTCTTCTCCAATATCGCATTGGCATCTTGAATCAGACAACGTTCTCTTCTTCAAGTACCTTCTGAACATCATCAAAGACTACGTTCGCTTCGATGGCCATTGTCTCTGCATCTGAGCAGCGCCATATCGCAAATATCTCACACTCTTTCATTACCCCCGGTGTTCCCCAGACCATGGATACATGCTTTGCTTTCTTCTCCAGCGGTCGATACTCTTCTGCCCACATCTTTGTTCATATCTCTGCTCATCTTCACGCTGCCATGCTCTCGCTCGACTTCTTCTGATGCTACCTAGCTGCCATTGCTGCCCAAGTCTTAGTCTGAGTTTTGACCCCAAGGAATCATGCTACCCACCCTCCACCCTCCAAGAATGACCCCACCCCGTTCTGAAAAGGAGCTAGATCCAAATAATGTGTAGTAAAATTATAATATGTCGTTACATTTTCAAGTTTTTCGATAAGATTCAAAAATATTTTTGTATTTGACCCACCCCCCTACCGATCTCTGTGAGTCGCAGAGAAACGAACGGTGCGACCCAAAGTGGCCAGACTACACAGCACCACCCCTCGCCACCCCCCTGTCTTGCAAGATGACCACCCACCCTACCTACAACCAACATTTGCTGACTTTAGTTTACACGTTCACAAGACAGGAACCCACCCCACGTCGAAATGTACCTACCCACCCCTACCCTAGGGACTATACCATCTGTTTAGATGAAGCACCCCTGCTGTATAATGGGTTCAGGACCCGTGTGTGTGTCAGCCGAGGGTCCGTGGGTTTCACCCTCTTAACTGACGGGGTATAACTGTATCTTCAGCCAAACGTTTCATTAATACAACGTTTCATTTAAAGGATCACGAGGGAGCTACCGGATACTACCCCCTACCACCTCTTTCCCCACTGAGTACCCCTAGTCGGGAATTCTTCAAGTAGCTCCAATTTCTGTCTTCCCCTTCTGCTAGCTCGATCGCCGAGGCGGGCTAGAAAAATTCCTCGGGCGGGCCTTCTCTAGACGGCAATGCAATCAGATCAGCAGTCATATCCCCTGAGAGCGGCAATGGCTACTAAAACTGGTACTGACGCTCTTCAATGTACCTAACTCCTCTTCTCCTTCTATCATATCCTCCTCAGTTCAAGTTTCCTGTCCTCCACTCCTCCTCCCTGCTATGCCCATCGATCAAGGCATGTTGGAATGATTTGTTTTCTTTTGTATCAGTTGACTCCCAATGCACTTAGAATCGCTTTTCGTGTTGCTTTGCTCCGCATGTCTCAACTTTGTTGACTTTCTACCTTTTTCCAGACAGATTTCATGCAAGCAAAGAAGCGCAATGAAGTCTACTCAAACGAGACAGTGCGTTTTTGCTCTGTTTCCGACCTGATGGCAGTGACATGCAAACTCGAGAAGAATTGAGTGAGAGCAGAGCGCTGCTAGCGTCTCAGGGGAGCAATGAGGGCTCGAACAAGTCGCATGGCAGCGGCGCCTCGTCAGTTTCCCACAAGAATCTGCTGGCAGGGATCAGAGTCAAGCTGCCCAAGGAGGCTGAAGGGATTCAGGAAAGCATCCTTGGCCCGCCATGCGCGTCAGGTTTCGCCATCCGGACGGAGAGCATCTGGAGGATGTACGATGGGGATGGCGATGGGTGGCTGAGCTCTGAGGAGATCGAGCGAGCACTCAGAGATGTCGGGGTGACGCTGACGCCTGAGGAGGTCGAGGATCTGACACGAGAGGTAGAGGACGAGGTCGAGCTCTGGTCCGAGGACGATCATCATTCTTCCGGTGGCTCCGTCGACACCGATGACGGGGAGGAAGAGACAGTCTACGAGGATGAGGATGGTTTGTTCCGTGTCCTCCACAACCATCCCAAGGGCACAGTGAGGAGGCTCGTGCTGGATGGGGAGGGACATGCTGTGTGGAAGAGCATCCCTGAAGATCAAGAGCGACTGGATGCGTCGAGACCAGAGAACATTATAAATTGGGTGTCAGCAACCAGCAGGCCGGGGAGATCACTTGAAGAGACTGTCAAGGCGATCAGAAGCAGGACAGACTTCTTTCAAACCGTACACAGATGTCAGGTGCAGCATGAGACGAATGGGTTCCGATCGGAAAGACTTGCGTTTCATCATGCCATGTCAAGCCGCTCGCTCAAGAAGTCTCGGCTAGAGGAGACTGTCAAAGCATTCCTGAGAAACATCTCGTCCATCTCCTCGTGGGCAAACATTCGCCTCGGCTTCCGGCGTCTGGAAACTGGTGAAAACGTGTCGGTGGAGCGGAAGGACTCGTTGATCGCGCTCAAGTGTCGGCCATCTCTGCAGAGGGTAAGAGCAACTTTCTTCGAGCTGCTCATAGAAAGCGACGAGAAGGAGAGATGGCACAAGTTCACTAAGGTGTACGATGATTACGTTAAGGTCAATGGAGAATGCGATATACAAGGGGCCATGAGGGCTTTGAGGAAACTTGGGATCTTTGTAAACAAAGCTGAGATTTCTGAGATGTATGATGCAGCAAACCAAGGAGATTCAGAGAATGCTGCTCAGGATTGGGTTGAAATTGACGTTTTCAATCGCATGTGTGAGAATCTCTTTCAATCTGTGATAAAAGAATCTAGCAAGAATCAAGTGATTGTAAAGATCATCGAAGCTAACGACTTGCCTGAGATGGACAGATTTGGCTCGGCCGATCCCTTCGCTCAAGCTGAGATTGTTGGGAAGGAAATCCAGCCGAAGCTCACCAGAACCATCAAGAGCACGTTGAACCCGATGTGGAACGAGGAGATTGTTCTCTCTGACGTCCAAGACGACGACAAGCTCCTGGTCTCTATCTGCGACGACGAGACGTCCGGGTTTGGTCCCAACGTGATCGGGGTTGTAGAAATTTGTTTGCAGACTGTGATTGACGAGGGGCTGAAAACAAATCAAACTACGACCGTCATAGATCGCTGGTTTCCGATTTGCAATGCCGAGAGCAAGGAGGAGTTGATCGGTAAGTACAGCAGCACCTCGAGGATCCGCTGTGTTGTTTCATATGTTCGAGGGAGTCCGTTCAATATCAAACATCAGTTTTCAAAGGACGTCGTCGAGTTCAACCTGATTAACTTGAAGTTAGTCTCAGCCGAAAACCTACCGCATTTGCAGAAAGATGACAGCGAGGACATCAACACGTACTGTACGTTCTCAGTGCAGGACCTCAAGCTGAAGAGCAAGACTTGCGCTCGTTCGAGAAAGTGATCATACTTGTTGTGCTGCGTGTGCAAGTCCTGACTTTGCACTTGATTGCAGCCCTTCATGGAACGAGCAGTTTCAGATGGTAGGAGACCTGCACTCGGAAATTTTGATATCGTTGTTCGATCATGATGATGAAGCTAAAGATGAGTGCATCGGGCATTGCAGACTCCGCGTGTCGGATATTGCGCATCACAACCAAGAGAAGAAACTCTTATTGAGGAGCACAGTAGACAACTCCTTTGTACTTGACGAGAACAACAAGAGGCGAGTATCAGAAGATCTCTTCTTCTCTTCTTCTCTTCTTCTCTTCTTCTCTTCTTCTCTTCTTCTCTTCTCTTCTTCACTTCTTCTCTTCTTCACTTCTTCACTTCTTCACTTCTTCTCTTCTTCTCTTCTTCTCTTCTTCTCTTCTTATCAGCGGTTGCTAGGGCATCCATTACCATAGAGACATCCGTGTCGGCCAGCGAAGACCTGAAAGCCACCTGCTCAAAGCTTGAAATCATCTTTGCCGGTTGTTGATCGCCAGTGTCGGACTGTCGTTTGCTCACACGTGCTTCAGGCTTGGCGTGCGATCATCAGCCGACAGTGCTGAACTGTTGCTCTGCCCTCTGGCAAATCCTGCAGGATGACGACGACAACTTCGAGAAGGAGGCGCTGGCGATCCTGGATGGATGGCAGACGATGGCTGATGTGCTCAGGGCCGGAGAGCTCGAGTTCAAAGTGTTCGGGGCGTCTGACCTCCCCAGGATGGACTACTTCGGCCTCTGCGACCCCTACGTCGTGATCAGCTTCGATGAGCTGAGCGTCAAGACGGAAATCTTGAAACAAACTCTTGACCCGACATGGGACTGCGTGCTCCGGCTGCCCTTCTTCCAGCCTCCCCACCCTCGCGAGTTCTCGTCAAGATCAGCTGAGATCAAGGTCGACATGTACGACTGGGATCAGGTCGGGGAGCATGACTTCATCGGCGGCCTGACCATCCTCTTCGAGGACTGGATGGACGGATGTCTGGGAAGGCAGAAGATGGGGATCTACACTGATGACGACCTTGTCCGGAGGGCGCGAGCTGGGGAACGTGTGGAGAAGGTCAAGAAGCCTGTCGTGGGGCACTCGGGGCGCAACTCGATGATTGAGATGGAAGTCAAGTTGAGGAACAGGCACGTGTTCGATGCTGAGTGTCGGGAGGAGATGTCTTGGGCGATCGCGTTTGCCGTCAGGGATCACGCCAAGAACGCAGAGGCCTTCGGGAAGACCTTTGGAGGAATGGAGGGCCTCGTCAAGCAGCTGCTGAGACCTCAGGACGACGACGGGGGATCGACACAAGCGGCTGCATACGCGTTGGGCAACCTCGCGGCCTCGTACCGTGAGAATCAGGACAAGATCTCGGCATGTGGGGGGGTGGAGGCTCTGACGAACCTCGTGGACCCGAAGCTGCCGCTGGCGGTGCAGCAGGCAGCGTGTCTGTCTCTGTGTAGCGTGTTGGCGGACAACCCAGCCAACATCAAGAGGTTGTTGAGGTACAAGGGGAAGGAGGACGAGGAGGACGAGCTTGTACGACGTGAGCCAGCAGGATGGCGAGATGCTGTCTCTCACCCCTGTGACCTGCAGGATGCGGAGGCATCGGGAAGCTTCTGGTTTTGATCAGGGACATCAAGCCGAACGCAGCGAAGATGTACATCCCCTCGCATGTCCTCGCTTAACATCTGATGTGATTGAGCAGCCAAGCAGGAGAAGAAGACCTCTGGGAGGAGGTGTCACTTGTTTCTCTGCTGTTGCTCTCCTGACACCTGCCAACCAGATCGCGTTCACATACGAGGCCGCCATTCAAGCTGTCTGACTTCCTTTGCTTGCTCTGCGTTGCATGACGTGCGATTAGGTTTCTGCTTCTGCTTTCATCAACCCTGGAGGGTTGTTCTCCATCGGAAGATCAACAGTGAGACAGGTGGCCATCGCCATGGGCAGAGCTGGTGAGAGCTTCTGTCACTTGCTGACTGGATGACTGACAGCCTGACAGGTCTCAGGATAATCGAAGATGTATGTGACCTGCCGGTTGACTTGGCTGAGACGAAACCTTAAGTCTGAGCTGCTGCTGCAGGTCAACCCGAAGAAAGGGGGGAAGAGAGCAACACAGGAGACGATTCGTTGTGCAAGGTTGTGCCATGAAGCATTATCGTATGCGTTTGAAAACTGATCAGTTGACACATTTAAATGTTACAATTAGAGGTGATTGAGATTAAAGGTTTTTGACGGATTTCAGCGCATGTCGCTGTAAGAGTGAGGAAGGGGTTGTTCGTAGGAAGCTGAGAACGAATCTTGATATATTGTGCTGGGCTGCCTCAAGGCTGACCACCTACCAAGAGTTACGAGTGAGACAAGATCGAAAGCTCTCGATCACTCCTTACCCTACGGGCCTTGGGACGGATAAGGCAGGAGCGAACACGGCGCTGGCAGCACCAGCAGCAGATTTCGAGATGAAGGGCTTCTGAGGAGATTTTCTCGACCTGCACATTTGAACTTACCATCACTGCTGCTCCAGGTTATTCAATGTGGCAGACCTGTCTGATCTTTCTGTCTTGCCCTTGCGCAACTTGTTCAAGAGTTCTTGAGGCACATCTCCCTCAATCACTGATGGATCCGATTCCACAATAGCGGCAATCCCCCCTGTTGCGGCTCAGAACATGTCTTGACCATCGTTGCGATGATCGGTACCAGTCAAGATGACGAAGTTGTCGATTCCTTTCTCGTACCACAGGTTTCCTATCGCTACAGAAATTCTTTCCTCAAGGTCATACAGAACCATGAGCTTTCCGTCCTGAACAATCGTCAGACGGAAACAACCGTCCACGCTGCTCTTAACCTTATTCTTGAACTGCATGATTTCTGGCGTAAACTGATACATACTCCTCGACATCATCGACGCTGGAAACGATCGAGCTCCCTAGTTCAGTGTCAGACAGTCATTCACTTCCACGCATAGCAAACCTTGATACGAAAGGAATCGAACTCTTCCTGACTCCTCAGGTCCAGAATCAAAACATCGTCCATGGAGCCCAACGTTATCTGCTCTACCAGCTTCGATGCCTACAAGACTGTCACTGGTTCAGAAGCTTCAAGGCATCTCTGTACCTTGACACGTTTGAAAGGCTCTCTTCTTTTGTACCTTGCTGACACCAAGCCAAAACTTTCTTCGACCGATTTGTTGGTCTTCCCGCTTTGTACTTTCGCTTTCACGTCGCTATATCTGCAGGGCAATCAGGGGAGCAACCGCATGACGACAATATTACCTGGTGTTCCGGGGTATCGTAGACTGCCAATCATATTCACTGAGTGACGACCTTCCTGTCGCTGAAGTACTTGGACGCCACACGTTTGCGTTCGAAGCAGTCGATGGTCTTGATAAAGGAGGATACACCTTTAAGAGATCAAGTGAACTAAGGTCCCCCTCACAATGAACAACATGATGCAAAGATCTGAAATATCCTATTGTGATAATTTCATATATCTCCTGATACTTGCCGCTCTTCTGCTCTCATCTCTGTGCCTTAACCTGCCCTCCTCTCCTCTCCTCTCCTCTCCTCTCCTCTCCTCTCCTCTCCTCTCCTCTCCTCTCCTCTCCTCTCCTCTCCTCTCCTCACTTACCCTCCCGCTCTTCGATATGATTGCATTCGCAGACATTCCCGCCATTCCGCCCTTCCAAACTCAAGTACCCCACCCCCTCGACAAATCAGAATGAAATGGGGTACTGTTGACATGGGGGTGGAATGCCAGGGGTATCGGCAATGGATGGGAATATGAGGGGTGGGGGTGGTGGAATTTGTTATTTTCGATGCGGTGCTGCGAAAGCGATGTGTGTAGAGAAGGAGAGAGAGGAAGGGAGGGAAGGGGAGGGGAGGGAAGGGAAGGTGAGGGAAGGATGGGGAAGGGATGAACAGACAAGGGGAGGCGAGGAAGGGTAAAGAAGGGAAAGGGGAGAGGAGAGGAAAGGGTCTGGTCTAGTATCGTCAGGTCAGCTCAGTCAAGGACAGCAGATGACAGGTCAGGTCATGTCAGGTCAGGCCTTAAAAGATGTCAAAGAGGATCCAAAGAGGCAACGAGAAGGTGGAGGGAAAAAGATCAGGCGATGAACAGTCATGTTGAATCATTGATGATCAAGTAGCATTCATACAGAACAGCAGCAAGACTTCCTAGACCAAGGTCGTTTACGACAAGGGCGAGGATTGCAATTGCTCTCATCCTTGTGCTCATCGACTGACTTGCTGTGATCTAGGCATGAGGCAATCTTTCTGATAGCATATCCAAGAATGAAGTTTTGGTTCGCCCGTGTGCTGCTCTTGCTAGCTCTGCAAGGATGCAGGTCTTTGAGGTACCTCGGGGAGCTGGAGCTGAAGCAGACTCCTGGCGGCCTGTTCGGTGCTGTCACCAACGGGCAGGATGCATGGTTTGGCGTCGACGGGTATCCAGCGATGATTGTGCGCGTCAGGCTGCGATCGAGCGCCAAGACGAGTCAGCAGGAGGACCTTGTTAGTGCGGCTGGCTCGCCCATGCTGGAGGTTGGCCGGCTCATGCTGAAGAAGGAGGAGGAGCGACTGTGGGCGCTGGTGGCGGAGCCTCTCAAGGAGGGATCATCCTCCTGGTTCGCGTATGTGGGTGTTGGAAACCCGCCGGGGAGGCTGGTGAAGGTGAACCTGCTGAGCATGGAGCGCGTGGGGTATGTGCAGCTAACGACGTCGGACATCCGGGGGGGTGTGGTGGTGGGTCCCCACGCCTACTTTGTGACCAGTGCGAAGCCAGCGACTGTGCTGCGCTGCCCGACAGAGGAGATGTTCCATGGCGACTCGTTCCGTCCTCTCGAGGTCGCCCTGGCCTTAGGGGAGCACAACGTGCAGGCCGTCTTCGCTGACTCCGACGGCAAGCACATCGTCCTGGGCACCTACACTCAGCCTGCTCGGATCATCAAGCTCGCAATCCCTGACATGACCAAGTCTGCGTCTCTCACTCTGCCAAAGCAGGAGCAGATGATCTACTGCGGAGCCCTGTGGGAAGAGCATGGAATCTTCGGGACCAGCACGCTGCCTGGGAGGCTGGTGAAAGTGAACCTGCAATCCATGACCCACGTCAGCTCCGTCGAGTTCTTCCGAGCAGAGGATCGCGCAGTCTCTATCGTGGTGTGGAGAGGACAAGCGTTTGTTGGGCTCGCCAACGAGTGGGAGCAGGATACTTCTTCCATCATTCAGGTCGACCTGGCGACCATGAAAGAGGTGGCCGCTCTGGTGACCCCCAGGGGATGCACTTGGCTCTATGCTGCGGTGGGCTGGCAGGATGAAGCGCTCTTCGGCTCGCGCTACCATGATTCCTCCTTCATCACGAGAATCTCTCTCCCGGTTGCCAAGCCTGACATCCCCGAGATTCCCTCCGGCAACGCGTCTGGGCAGGTGGCTGACGTTTCCTCCTTTCCTCTTCTCACTTGCTTTTCTTCTCTTTCTCTCTGGATCAGGACGCGATCCGCCTGTCCTGGACGAGGCCTTTCCCTCGCTACCACACGGGAGGGTCACCCATAATCGGTGTGCCCTCCTCCTCCTCGTGGCCGCTCTGATCACCCGCAGGGGCGCGTGTCCTAGTGAGACCGGCATGGCACTGGGACTGGACGGAGGAGCACGTTTATGGGTTAGCAGCTCCAGATCCCTACGTGAGTGGAGGGAGGAGGAGGGAGGAGGGAGTCGACCTGACCCTCGCGCGAAGGCGCCGAAGCATGGCATCGGCCGCATCGTCCGCGTTCACGAAGATCCTTCGGACCTCCTGGATGAGGCGAGAGGACGCGCGTCCTTCGAGTTGCGATGACGGGGCTGCGCAGGGCTACGGCGCTGTAGTCGATGGGCTCGAGCCGATGGAGTCCTACAAGTTTGCGGTGATCTTGACCAACTCAGCTGGAGCCTCGCACAGGTCGCGATCTTCTCAGGTCAGCCGATGGCGTGCTGGAGGTGCAGGAGAAACTTGATGGTGCAGGCGATCATGACGACGTTTTCTGCCTGGCTCGAGCTCTCGATCCTGGGGATCGCGATCGTGAGTCAAACTTCGACTCCCCTGCTCTTCCCTTGACGTCTCAGTCGGAAACTACCTCCCTGACACCTCCAGCAGATTTTGGACGTCTTGTTCATTTTCATCTGGATTGCATCAGGTGACAAGAGGACGTCCTGGTTCACAATCTCAGATGTTGACAATCGAACCAGCATACGGGAAGAACTTGTTGACGTCAGATTACAGTCATCCCGAAGGTACAAGTGCCATTCCTGTCCTACAACATCCTTCACTCGTGCCACAGATCTTCTCCCAGACGACGCTTCAGGCGCAGAAGGAGGGAGGAGCTTCTTCCATGTCATGGCGAGCTGGAATTCGGAGGGAGCGATGCTGGTCACAGGTTGGACCTTCCTGCGACGAAATCTCTCTTCACTTTGACCCCCTCAGTCATATGCGGGTACTTGTTCATGGCTGCCCCGGCCCATGTCGCCTTTGACCGGTGCACTTGTGCTGCGCTTGCCTGCCCTCCTCTGATCGTGCCCTCAGCTACATGCTGAAGCCGCAGCGTCTTGACGACTTGGTGTGTGTCGGTAACTCGCGCCCGCCTGCTCCCTGCCGCGCTGACGAGCGCGCTAGGCATCTCAGCAGTTTTTCTCGTCTCGCTCGCTGCCTTGACGTGGTCGACGATGGGGGTGAGTGAGGAGGAGCTGCGAGCTCTGGTCTCACAGCCTCCTCAGATCCTGTGGGGCATGAGGAAGCAGCGGCAGCATCGCGTTCGAGCGGTACTTGAGCCAGCTCCCTTCCGTTGCATCATCCCACCCCTTCTCCTCCCTCCCCTCCCCTCCCCTCCCTCTCTGATTTCCTATGGTACCCAGTGGGCTGTCGCTGGGACCGGGACGCTATGGGTGAGGAACAGACATTCTTTGACGTGCAGGGAGTTTAAGTTCACGGCAGGCAACGAGCACGAGCGCGATCGCCATGTGCATGGCATGGTCAGGGAGCTCGCCGTCTCCCAACGGGAGTAAAATCGCCATCACTGTCAGCCTGCAGCTTCTGCTGCTCTTTGCGGCTGGATCGTTCTTAGAAGTTGTCGTTCTCTTCTCTTCGAGGGTAAGTTCAGCGCTGCTGCGCTGGGTTGCTGACAAATCCTGTCCCAGCGGAGCCCCAGCAAGCCCCCAGCTGTGGCATCTTTGCCGGAATGGATAATGGCGTTGTAACGGACTCTTCTCTCAAGTTTGTGCAGTTTTACTTTGAGAACCACCTGTCCATGCAGCCGTCACTCGTTGATCCTCCTCCTCCCTCCTCCCTCACCTGCTCCCCTGCAGCTGCCTCCCAGCAGGAACGTAGAGCTTGTAGAGGTGCTGGTCGAAGGAGGCTGCATAGATCGAGATGCTTCTGTCGGGGTTCAGGATGCACCTGCGCATGTGTCATGATCAGGTTCGGGCGAGCAGGGAGCGCTAGCTCACAGAGGAGGCGACTGGATTCGCTTCCCAGTGGGGAACTTGAACTGAACTATCCCCTCATCGTTGAGGCCATAGATGAACTTGTTGGACGACGTCGTCACGATCAGCCCGTCAACATAGCAAGGCGAAGTCGCTCCGACCGTCGTGTGGTCGCCAGCACCGCACCATGACCCTGCCACCCACTCCAGGAGAGCAGGAGTGGGACCCAAGGCGTACTCGACGCAGACGCGGCGAAGAGAAGGGTCGTCGTAGGTCTTGCAGAACTGAGACTGAGACGGGACGGTTGTCGAGATGCCGAGGATGGCGGCGACCCGCTCTGAGGTGTAGGAGGCAACATCGCCGATGGAGATGATTTCGTAGTGAGAGACGGTCATGGCGGTGTAGCCGCTGTAACCAGCGTCCTCGCTTCCCTTGGGCGAGCAGACGACGGTTTCAGCGCAGAGGCTCCGGTCGATGGAAAGAGAGATCCATCCTGTCTGCGTGTCGAACTCAGTGATGGGCACCTGCACGCCCTGCCCGGGCCCTGACGTGATGACGAAGATCGCCCCCACGTAGTCACTGGCGTTGCGAGAGATGCTAACGTTGGCAAGCTGCACTGAGCCAGGACGATCGACGACGGGGAGAACTTGAGAGTAGGGACGAGGAAGGCTGTTGAAGTCGGTGTTCACCATCCCACTGAAGGTGAAGTAGCCGTTCTCTCCTCGTATTCTGTAGTAGTCCTGGCTCTGGTAAGAGACCGGTGGAGTAGTTGCGATGGTGAGGGTTTGGGTTGCGGCAGTGTAGGAGGAAATCAGTCGGTAGTCAAACACCTCAACCATCGATCCCTGTGCGTGCTGTCCAGTGTACGTGTCGAGCTGCGCCCTCGATACCCACACTTGAGTGCCATTAACTAGATCCACCAACATGACTTCAGAGTCTATCTTGAGATATGATGACACAAAAATGCGCAGAGAACTGGCTGACTGATTGAGCGTTAGCACGTATGACTCAGCGTCTGTCACAGCGGCTGCAAGGTAACCGACGTCCTTGAAACGCACTTCAAGACTCATGTCGGCATAGAAGTCATCTTGACTGCTGGAAGTCGTCGCGATCACAACCTTATTGGTGGTGTATCCTTGGATGAGACCGGAATAGGTTGGGTACACGAAATCTTGCGATGCTGGGATGACTACTAGCACATTCTCTCCGTCTTGGATTGAAGGTCCGATACGATACTTGGATGTCGAATCCAGTGGCGTCCTCAACCCGTCGACCGAGCACGCATTTGACGAGGCATCATAAGTGTAGCAGGGCACGGACTGTCCTGCTCCTGTTCCTGCGTACACCTCGATGGTGTACCCCGAGTACTCCCCCGCTTGTCCAGCTGATGAAGCGTCCAGAACAATTCGGTTGAGAGAACATCCTGACGCGCAGTTGGCTGTTCCCAACAAGTACTTGACCTGGAGGGTGAGCGTTTCGGAGGAGGAGTTCCAGGTTCCGTTGAACTTGGCGCTGCTGCTCGTGGTGACGGAGTAGCTGGTGGTGTAGTCGGGCGGAATCTCCACAAAGGTGATGTTCGCGGTCAGTGTTGAGTTGTCGTATCCTACTATCACCGCAGTTTGCCCTGCCCCGGGGCCCGACAGAAACTCAACCTTCGCTCCCAGGCAGGCCGAGTAGAGGCCGCAGAAGTTTGCGCTCACGTCGCCGAAGGTGATGGAGGTACGGCTGCCTCCCACCAGAACTCCGCGCGAGCTGAGAAGGTTGTTGCCGACAGCAGGCACGTACGGGGGGTAGATGACTGGTACGTCCCCGCTGCTCCGGGTCAGGCCTGGCAAACGAATCGAAATCTGTTCGCCGGCGATGATGCGATCTCTGGCGGTGAACTGCAGGACGATGGCTGAGTTCTGGTTCGACGAGTCGTAGAAGACGCTGTCATGCTGCGAGACGATCGGGGAGTAGGCCGTCACCACGTCCCGCACGGCGAGGTTCAACCCCTTGAGGAGGGTTCCGCTCTCGATGGTAAAAGTCGCCCTGGAGTTGAGGTGAGAAGAGCGACATGGCACAAGACGTTACACCTGTAACCATCGTAGTGATGGCTGGTTGTACTCGCATCAGAGCCCAGGGTGATTGAGATTCCGTTGCTCGGGTTTTCATCTCCAACGCTCACTTGCAGATACTCTACAGGTCGATTGGTGACCCTGCAGGTTCCTCCGGTTCCTCCCGTCACATATCGCCATCGCAAGTTGCCGTCGATCTGCGGAAGTTGAGAGTTCAGAGAACTTCACGGCATTGTTGCGTGCTGTCGTTCACCTGAAGGGACAACACTTTTCCATCCACGGACGAGAAGTACATCACGCTAAAGTCACCTCGAGCAGGTTTGGATACGATACTGGAGGATGTTGAATAATTCCAGATGGTTTCGCCATTCATCGTCAATAAACTATCTCTCCCTTCTGTAATTCCCCCTCTCGCGTGCCATAGGCAATTGAAGTATCCTGAGTCAAGCAAGTAAGAAAGGGACGATCTCTACCATATCAACTGACCAGCACCAGCGGAGTTCCGGATATTTGCTGCCCATTTGAAGCCTTCCAAACGAGATTCCCAGTGGAGATGTTGACGCAGTACAGAAAGGTATCCAGAGATCCAATCAAGACACGCTCCCCCCGAACTATCGCAGGGCTGCCGAGAATTTCACCTCCAGTCATGAACTGCCAACCCAAGGTCCCGTCCAGATTGAACTACAGAACATGATCAGCAGCCATCGGACTGTGTGAGTTTACCTTGTAAAGCATTCCTGTGCGATCTCCGATGAAGACAGCATTTTGAGTAGCCAAAGGAGTTGAGTGCAAAGGAAGTGGGGTAAGGTACTTCCATTTCACGACCCCGAACGCGTTCACTGCCCACACGTTTCTGTCATTGCTTCCAAAGTAGATGGTGTCGTCCTCGCCAACGCAAGGGCTTCCGGCCACAGGGCCAACAAAGATGCTCCAGCTTATCTGGCCGCTAGGAGAGAACTGTCAACAAGAGTCAAGTCACCAAGGCCGAACGGTCGGTCTACACGTCCTACCTTAGTCAGGAATCCCCTCATCGAGGCGACCACTACAGAGCCGTCGCTGCACAGGACTGGCGATGCAGTGACCTCTCCTCCAGGGATGACGGCTTTATACTCCAGCATAACACTCTGCTGCCCAGAGCCACTTCCTGTTGCTCCCAATTTTCTCATTCCTGCTCCATACCTCTCATGGTAGCATCCTCGTTCGATCTGGTATACACTGTCTGTAGCTGTGGCAACTTTGAAGTCAACTGTAGCTGTGAACGATGCTACTCCATCGCACAGTGGAACGCAAGTGGTGGGAACTGTCGACATGGCTATCGTATACGTGGACGTAGTGTCAACAGGCACATGGCAGTTTCCTCCACCAGTACAATCAGCATCCAGTATGCACCTCGCTCCATTGTTTGCCTGAAAAAAAAGTTCAGAGCAATCACGTAACATGGTGTTAGCATGACAAGAAGCCCAGCAACAGTGACAGGTGACGTCAACGTACCTTACAGTTGGGCTCGAGACGTGGATCATGCCAATTGGTCTGACAGGCGAGAGCGTCACTTCCGTTCTGACACCATCCGAACAGCCCGGTGACGAGGATCTCATAGTTGGAGTTGGGACCTGCCCGCACAAGTCCCACCTGTCCAGCACCAGTTCCCGAGGAGATGAAGACGTTCATCCCAGCGTAAGGGCCGAAGCAATCAGAACCGCTATACGTCGTCATGTATGGCGTCTTGTATTGTGAAGAACACGTGATCTGTCCGGAGTTTGGTGTCCTTCGTCCCCCTCGATCGATTGCTGGGAGTTTGATAACCAAGGAAGATGCGACATTCTTGCTGCTGCTGTCCTTGTACATAGAAAATGCTACGCTCTGAAAATCACCAGCGTTGTCAACCCCCTCGCAGGATGCATGCGACCATCCGCAATAAGCGGAGATGACGGATGATGCACCAGCTCCCGTCCCTTGGGTGATTGATATCTTTGATCCCACGTAGTACGAGTCTTCTCTCGATGCTGTTGGTGCTAGCCTACAAATCGTTTCGTTACAAGAAATGTAGCCCAACTGGAAGTCAAACCTGATTGTAGTGTAGGGAAAGGATGCATCTCCTTCCTGCAAGGTGCCGGTCTCCGGAAAGTTACATATTTGTTCACCAGGAGCTACAACAGTGTCTAGAAGAAGCAGAGTGATGATAAGAGAGTAGATTTTTCGCTGCATGGAAATCATGATTGCATAAAGTCTGTCTACATTCAACAAGTGTCTTTTGAGTGCAGATCTCAAGAGCAAGACTTGATCAAAGAGCTGCTCAAAGTTTTTTTGTGTTGCTGTCGACTTGTCTTTCAATGTTTTACCCTCTTATTCCATCTTCTCTCCCATCACATATTCCCAGTTCTCCATTGTGGATATCAACGGACGACCCCACCCTACCCACCCCTTTGCTGTATACCCCACCCCTTGTAATATAACATGGACCCGTTGTCCCAACCCTCTCATCCGCATCCCATTCCCTACTGCCCCACATGCTTCATTCCCTTTTAATTGGAGTCTTTGATACAAGGGATCCTTCCTCTATCATGTAAATCAATAACAACCTTCGATCCTTTAGCTTCACCACCCCTTGTTTCTGATTATGAACCCCTCACTTGACCACCCCTACCCATCCTGCTTCCGTTACTACAGTTACCTAGCGACCGGCATGGCAAAGTCAAACGGATGAAGTGGTAGGAGGAGGAGACGCTTGTTGCTGCATCTTCCCAAAACTTCCCATGTCGACCTGGAGCGACGACCATGTTCGCTGCGAGGCAGGTGGAATCCAAGCTTGCATGCTCCGTGGATTCAGATCGCGGTGCCATCAGCGTGAGAGTAGCCCATGAGTCTTCAGCCCACGAGCTCCTCCTCGTCAGGGACCTCCTTGCTCCTCGGGCAGCCTCAGGGGCAGGAGAATCCTCGACTCTACAGCTGGAGCCACGTGGAAGCGGCTGAGGTGATCGAGAGACTCGGCTACCCTGAGATAGCCGAGAAATGCCGGGAGCAAGAGATCCGAGGAGCGCGCTTCATCAACGTGGAGCATGCAACCATCATGAAGTTGTTCCGATGTGGTGAAAATGTTGCAAAGAGCATCCTTGAACGATTCCGCAGCATCCGCAGCGAGGAACTCAGGAGCCTCCCACGGACGAGCAAGCAAGCTCTGACCAAGATCGAGACGAGCAGGAAGACGGGAAACTTAGTTCTCAACGAGATGAAGCTCACAGTCTTTCCTGGTTTGATTTGTGATATCTTCATCCTGTCAAACATCTCAGCCACCAAGAATGAGATCAAAGAACTCCCTGCTGAGGTCGGGCTGCTTACAGCCCTCCAATCTCTCAAGCTCGGAAAGAACCGTCTGATCGCGTTGCCTCCGTCCATAGGGAATCTGACGAACCTCCAAGTGATCTCCCTTGAAGAGAACAAGCTGAAAGAAATCCCATCACAGATAGAAAATTGTGGGAGCTTGAGAACCATCGACGTATCCCACAACAACCTTCGCAGATTACCGTCAGTGCTATACAGATGTCAAAAGATCACCAAATTGAACATTGTTGCGAACCCGTTGAATCTACCAGCAGATCTTATGTCTGGTGGTTACAAGACCGTCTTCAAAGTTCTAGAGGCAGTTCACATGGCGGAAGAGGATTGCGCTCTTACACTTCATGATGTCACGTTTCAATCGTTACCAGGTAAGAGGGGCAAAACTCTCCCCTCCTTCACCGTTTGATTGTACGTGCAGATTTTGTTCTTGAGATGCATTTTCTCACAGTTTTGGACCTGCAGCGAAACAGGTGAGGTCATGATGTCGGCAATGGTCAGTCGTTGAGCTTCTTTAAGATTGCAGGACGTGAATCGAATATCCGAGATGACGAACCTGGAATCTTTGATCCTCTCAAGCAACTTGATCGAGCGAATCCCTCTAGGGCTGGGAAGCTTGACGCATCTGACACATCTCGATGTTCGAGACAACCCTTTGAGCTCGCCTCCGCAAGCTCTAGCAGGTTTGAGCACGCAGTCGTTTCTGAGATATGTCAACGTGAAGCGGAAGCTGTGGTTTGAGAACCTGGACGAAATGTATTCGAAGCTAGACGATGATGGAAGTGGAAAGATTAACACCAAAGAGTTCTTTGATGGCCTGAAAACAATTTCTGTGGAAGGCTTGAACAAACACGAGTTGAAGTCATACGTGCAGGAAAATTGGCATGATGAAGTCATGACGAAAGAGACATTCTACAACTTGATAGAAACGTTTCTAAGGCAATCTCCATCGCATCGAGTCTTCACGCTGGACTGGTCTGGCATAGGAATGCCTTCTTTCAGCCTGGACTTGAACGTGCCGGAAGTGATCGAGACTCTCGTCCTGAACTCAAACTTCATCTCGGACCTCCCAGCTGACTTCACCCGACTTTGCTCTCTGCGCTACCTTCACATGCAGCGGAACCACCTCGTCCAGCTTCCCCGGCCTCTCCTGGCTCTGACCGCCATCGAAGGACTGTTCTTGCAAGAGAACAAGATCACCAGGATTGAGGGCATCGTGTCATTGCGAAGTTTGAAAGTTCTGGCCCTGGATGGAAATCAGTTGACGACTTTGCCCAACAAAATGTTCACAATGGACGCACTCGAGCGTCTGTCGGTAGCGAACAATCCGCTGCACATGCCTCTGAGGAGGATAGCGCTAGAGAACATCGAGTACGTCAAGACCTACCTGCGGATCTTCCATGAAGCGCAAGTCAACGGCAAACTTGACCTGAGCTCCATGGACTTCCGAGAGCTGCCCTATGAGGCAGACCTGCAAGACATCGGCACCCTCAACCTCTCGAGCAACAGGTTTCATACGTTACCAGAGCAGCTGGAGTTTGCCAACAGCCTTGTGCACTTGAGCGTGGAGAACAACTTTCTAGAGGAGCTTTCCTCGTTCTTGTTCTATTCCCTCACCAACTTGACCTTCCTGTCTGTGGAGAAGAACCGAATCGACAGGATCCCACGAAAAATCTCCAGGCTGAAGCTCTTGAAAGAGCTGCGAGTTGCTCATAATCAGATCGACAGCATTCCTTACACCATGAGTCTACTCAACAACTTGAAAATACTTGACGTCTCCTCCAACCACCTGACCTCGTTTGACACTGTTCTCACTGACATTCCTCAGTTAGTCGTGCTCAACTTCGCCAAGAACGCTGCTACCGAGCTCCCTGTGGAGATCGCCAAGATGACCAACCTGAGAGAGCTGTCGGTGCAAGGCAACCAGATCAGAAGCATCCCCGACGTCTTCGATCGACTCTACCTCAAGACTCTTGACGTGGACAAGAACCCTCTAGAGCACATCCCGCTCTCCATTGGAGCCCTCAAGACTTCCTTGGAGGACATCAGGTGCGACAAGTTCCTCCACTTGGAAGACCCGCCCGACGCCATCGTGGTACGAGGAACCGCTCCCTTGCTGGACTACCTCTATCGGCAGTACTTCGCAGCCTCTTCCCAGCAGCTGGACCTCAGCTCGTTGAATCTCGGCAAAGTCTCTGCTCCCCTCCGCACGCTCAACAGGTTGTGCGGGGGCCTGCGGGCCATCGACTTGTCCAACAACCACCTGACGGCAGTTCCTCGAGACATCGGGATTCTCAGCTCGTTGGAGACCTTCATCGTGAAAGACAACCAGCTGTCAAGTTTGCCACCTTCTTCCAAGGAGATGGTATCCCTGACACACCTCGACATAGCGGGGAACGAGTTCGGGTCAGTACCCGAGATCCTGACATTCACTCCGCACATCCGTTACCTCGACATGTCGAGGAACAAGATCGCTTCTCTCTATCGTAACATCGACGACATGTCTGAGACTTTGACCGATACCGTCAGAATCACTCAAAGAGCTGGCGATCAGAACGCGGACGGCAAGTCAAAACTTAGAAGTGTCATCGATGCCAAGGTGCGTGGACAGGTCATGTTGAGCCTCAAGTCAAAGAACCGGTCGAAGAAGATCGCTGCATTGTTTCAGCTGACCAACCTGGAGGTCCTCTACCTCCGATACAACCAGGTCACCTTCCTTCCTGGTAGCATCTCCAAGTTCACCAACCTCAGAGAGCTGGACTGCGCGTACAACAGCCTGGTCGACACTCCCCCTGACATCCGGGAGCTGAAGCGTCTGAAGAGGATAGACTTCTCCCACAACTCGTTGCGCGGTATCCCTCCAGACATCGGGACGCTGGAGGAGGTGGAGTACCTGGACTTATCGTACAACCAGCTGCAGGAGCTGCCGAGAGAGGTTGGCTTCATGACAAGCCTGCAGTCTCTGGACTTCTCCAACAATCAGATCGTTTTCTTGCCGGTCGAGCTAGAGGCTCTTGAGACAAGCCTCACCCTCCTCTCTGCGGACAACAACGCCATCACAGACCCGGTGAGGCTCGATCGACCCTGATGGCTGCTGCTGACCTGAACTCACAGCCGAACGAGATCTTGAAGCAAGGTCGAGACGCTGTCTTCACCTATTTCCGACGAGTCCGCAACGGACAACGAAGTCGAGACCTGGTACTGATCGACATGAACCTGACGGTTCTCAACATCAACTGGTGGAACCTTACTGTCCTCACTGCTCTGGAGATCTCCGGGAATCACGTTCAGGAGCTGCCGTCCACCATCCGCCTGCTCTCCAACTTGGTCCTGCTGAAGGCCCCGGGAAACGATCTGAAGAGGATCATACAAGGCGACGACTTGACCTGCTTTCCGTCCCTCTCCCGCCTCGCTCTCAAGGACAACAGCATCGTGTCGATCGATCGGCACATCGCCGACCTGGTCAACCTGAAGGAGCTGGACATGTCGTCCAACACCATCGACACCGTCACGCCTGAGATAGAAAGATGCAGCAAGATGAAGCGGATGAAGATCTCGCAGAACAACATCCGAGAGCTTCCTAAGGGAATCTTCAGGATCTCAGGGTTGAATCAGTTCATCGCCTCCTGCAATTCAATCTCGCTGCTGCCAAACACAGTCTGTTATTGCGTGTCCCTGAAAGAGATTGACATGTCTTTCAACCGCCTTGAGACCCTGCCGGTGGAACTTGGGAACCTGAGGAACCTTGAGAGGTTTGACCTGTCTTCGAACCTTCTCAGCAGGCTTCCCAGCTCCATCAAGAGACTGGAGAGTCTCGTCTACTTCAACGTCAACAGCAACAGGCTGACGACTATCCCTCCTGAAGTCAAAGGTCTCAAGAGGTAACCATCTCACGTTGCTGAACTTCATGGTGACAGCCTTTGTAGCTTGATCGAACTGCACTTGAAAGACAACCTGCTGATCTCGATGCCTCCGGAGATAGGCTCCTTGTCCTCCCTTACTACCTTGTCTCTGGATGGCAACCAGTTCATGTCCATCCCAACGACTGTCAAGAAGCTGGAGAATCTCCGTTGTCTCTCTGTCAACGAAGAGCAGACCTTGTCTTTGCAGACGGTGCAGCAAGACGATCTCAACTCGATCGAGCTCGTGCCGCTGTCGCAGGAGAAGGCAACCCTGCGCACGATTCCCATCGAGCACATGATGTCCGGGACGCAGGCCATGAGTAAGTTCTTCGACCGGATCCACCAGCGCATGAGCGTCCCAAGTTTGAACCTGACGCACCTTCAGCTCACCAGCATCCCCCAGGAGGTCTTCACCTTCACTTCCCTCACCGTGCTGGATCTCAAGGAGAACAAGATCGACTTCCTGCCGGACACCCTCGGCGTCTTGACCGCCCTGACTCAACTGGATCTGTCGGAGAACCTCCTGAGCAGAATCCACGAGGGCGTCGGGGCCCTGAGCAACCTGACATGGCTGGGGCTGGGGAGGAACAACGTCAGCGAGATTCCCCCATCCTTCAGCAACCTGCAGCTGCTCACCTACATTGACCTCCACGTCAACCACATCCAGTCGCTGGCGGCAGACGGAGGGAGCGCAGGGAGCGAAGGGGTGCTGGGGCTCAAGAGCCTGCGAGACTTCGAGTGCTCTTACAACGTGCTGGAGGAGCTGCCGGACGTGTCGGGCTGGTACAGCCTGACTCGAGTCAACGTGTCGCACAACCACCTGCGGGAGCTGCCGGAGATGATTTTCCAGCTGTTTACCCTGGAGAAGTTGGAGGCCGGCGACAACCGCCTCCGGTCCGTCTCTCCCTCCATCAGCCAGCTCAGCTGCCTCACCCTTCTCAGCTTGAAGAACAACAACCTGCGCGTCCTCCCCCGTGAGCTCGGCAGGTGCACAGGGCTGAAGACTCTCTCCCTCAACGCTAACGACATCATCGCCATCCCCGATCAACTCTGCGGCCTGGCTCGCCTGCGGCGCCTGACCGTCTCTGCCAACCACATCGTCGAACTACCATGGCGCATGGGGGACCTCGCCTCCTTGCAGCGAGTGGACGTCAGCTCCAACCCCCTCCGCTTCCTCCCGCCATCCCTCGGGGCGCTGGAGGCGCTGGAGAGTCTGGACATGTTCGAGTGCGAGGACTTGATCGACCCGCCCGAGAGCATCAACTCGCGGGGGCTGCGAGGCACCATATCGTACCTCAGGAGGGTGTGGGAGGGCTTCGAGACCAGGAGGATGGACCTGACGGGGATGGACATGGGGAAGCTTGTCCTCCAGCTCGACCACCCCCACCTCGCCCCCCTGCTACAGCTGCAGCTGGACAAGAACGGCCTCTGCTTCCTGCCCGACACGATAGGCTGCCTGGTCAACCTCCGATCCCTGCGGTTCCGGGACAACCTGATCATGAGGTTGCCGCCCTCCTTCTCTTCCCTCACTTCTCTTCGCGAGCTCGACATGTCTAAGAACAAGTTCACCAACATCCCCCAGAGCCTCTTAGACCTGACGGGACTCACGCGGCTGAGGTGCGGGCACAACCCGATCCCCTACTCCCTCTCCACCTCCTGGATCGAGGACGACGTACGGAAGTTCCTCACCAACTACACGTATGAGACGATCGGCAAGCGGATCAGCGCGATGTGGAACAACAACAACCGAGCGGAGGTCTTCCGGGCATGGCGGATCTTTGTGCAAGACCAGTGGACCAGCGAAGACTGAGGACACAAGAGCAACGAGCTTCATAAGACTCGGTTATCGCACTTGACATAGCAGAGGACACACAGTCGCTGTGGTTGGAGGGTTCCTAGTTCAGGCAACACCACACGCAAGTCCTTGGTCTTCCTGGTCGCCCAGAGCTCTCTCGTGAAATCTGCAGATCAAGACAGTCAGTCACGAACGGATCTCGACAGGCGACCTGGCAGGTTGTCTGCAGCAGGAGCACAGTCCATGCAGCAGATCATGCCGCATCTGAAGGCGAGGGGGTCAGGACTAGAGCAGGAGCTTCCCAGCCCTCAGCTCACTGCATGCAATGCTTGGTCGCTTTGGCTCGATGGGCGTCTGACTTGAGGATGAAAATCTCGCAAACGTCTCGCTCGCACACTTGGCAGGCTCGCCACTTCCCCTCCTCGTCTACCGCCGACTGAAGTCTCCGAGTCACCTGCGCGGGTCCATCACGATCGGAGCCGTCGGGCTGGCCGGGCCAGTCAGGACTTCAGTCAGGACCTGGTGCGAGGAGGCGAGGCGAGCCCGGAGGTTCATTCCGCGGATGACGTTCAAGTAGGCCTTGACGTAGTGGTCACTGATGGACCTCATGTGGATCTGAATCCACTGATACCACAAGGGTCACGTCATGACATCAAAGCTGCGAGTCACCTGAAGCTCGGAGTCGGAGTAGTTGGTGAGCACCGGCGCGTACTGGCCAGTGGCGTGATCTTCCCTCAGATGGAGGACTTGACCGGGAACCACGAGGTCTCCCGCATAGTTCTTGGGCGTCTTGAGTTCGTTGATGACGTGTTCTATGCCGTCCAGTGACTCTTGTTTCTCCTCCTCCTTCTGTGCCTGAGCCTGATACGTCCGACGTCAACAGCAAGAGAGTTCCGTGTTTTCACCTCACCTTGTTCCAACCAACATATTGCCAGAAGTTCTGTAAAATAGTTACATTAAACTGTGAATTTCCCGTCTCCATCATACCTCATAGTCAGTGTCGATCTGTGAGTTACACCAATCCCGTTCCTCTACACGGCTGAAGTGCTATCAAGAGCAGACGAATCAACGAGAGCAGGTCAAGATGCCAAGACATGTTACCTTCTGCAGACGTATGAGGTTTGTAAACGAAAGCCGTGGGATCAGATCGTCTCTGTGAATGATCGACACGACGTACGGGCTCAGCTTCTTCGACAGGTTCTCGTCAACACACGCCGGCATGCCGAACCCGTAGGCCTTGATGTCTCGCTTGCAGAAGGTGGGAGAAGCGAGGAGCATGGCAGTCAGGAGGGTGACGGTCCCTGCTCCGAGAGAGTGACCGACCAGCCGGATAGAATAGTCCGCAGGGAGCAGCGTCAGCAGACTTCGAAACCCCCGATCGTACATCAGGCACCTTGCCCCCTTCACCATGCCGCGATGCACAAACCCTTGCCAAGTCCGAAGAGCTTCGAGCTCCTGGGGTGAGTTGCAGAACTGTTCCTCGAAGTGGCTGATCAAGTGATCGTATCGGAAGTCCAAGTCAATCAAGTGATCATTCTTCCCCTTGGACCCTCTAATTGCAAGGAGCAAGACTTTCTTTTCCCTGTTGATGAAAAGAGCGAACGAAGGGCACTTTGCTCCGAACGTCTGACTAGCAAGCCGCATGTCTGCTGCTGATTCCGGCATGTGATCGATGAGGCAAAATCCCTCTTGGATCATGGACTTCTGCATGAACCAAGATGCCTCCGCTTGCGGATCGGCAGACATGGAGCTCCGATCTCCGGCATCGTACATCAGACTCGCTAGGTTCAGGTAGTATGAGGACTCTTCCAGCAGTTGATAGGCCTTGCTCAACACCTCCCTCGGTTGATCCACAAGACTTGATCCTGGACTCTTCAGACGGTCAAGAGTGCGATGAAGGCTGTAGTAGTAGAAACGTTTGCAGATGTCGAAGGCTTCTGCCGCCTTCTGCCTGCTGGACAAGGTTGATCTCTTGCTCTCTGCCGCCCCACCCTCAGCCTCAGCCTCATGCTCAGCAGATTTCTGAGCGATGAATTCTCCCAGCTGATCGAGCACAATGTTCCAGGCGTCCATGAACTCTTGAGACAAGAGGTACTCCCTGAATCGATACCCCTGCGCCGCGAGCTTGACTGCTGTCAGCCCAGCGCGGATCTTACCGCCGGCAACAAAGTTGACAGCTTCCAGCGCCGACTGAGCCACTTGCGAGGTAAAAGCTCGCTGCTTCTTGGCAGGACGAGGCCACGACGGTTGAGCGCTGCTGTTCAGGTAATCCTTGAGGCGAAGCACCTTAGCTGAGAAGCCGAGAAAGTGTTTGGCGTCGTCAGAGGCATCACAGTCCAGTGTTGGAAGCCACCCAAAGACCTCGTGCTGGCAGAGCTGGTGAACTCGATCAGTGTCGGAGAGCAGCATAGCGCTGTCAAGGTCCTCAAAGATGGTCGACGACAGGAAGACTGTCATGTGTACACTGCAATCCACACACAGCCAGCCATCGCAGCACGTGCACTTCGTCGCATCCTTCACCTCAGCTCCCTCCTGGCTCGGCTCGCTTGCGTCCTCCTTGCCCTCCGACATCCTCGAAGCCGCTGCCGCATTCCTCGCCTCTCGGATCGACTTGGGTCGGCTGCATCGATCGCAAGAGGCCTTCGGGTCCTCCTTGCGAAGCGAGGACAAGCTGCGATGCCAGAGCTGCTTTGGGATCTTTACCCGCAAGGAGCATCCTCCTCCGTCTATCTCGCACACATGGCGCGCGCAGACTCGGCAAGAATGGCTCTTTCGTACCTCCTTGAGGAAGGGATTCTGACAGGATAAGCAGGATAAGATCAGTCAAGTGTGGGAGGAGGAGGTTGGAGGAGGTTGGAGGTTGGAGGTTGGAAGAGAAAGTTGAGCAGGAGCAGGAGCAGGAGGGATGACGTAATGGTGTAGAAGGGGAACACGAACCGCTGAAGGGATGAGGAAACGGAGGAGGCAGATAGGTGGCAGGAAGACGAGGAGCAGGAGCAGGAGCAGGAGCAGGAGCAGGAGCAGGAGCAGGAGCAGGAGCAGGAGCAGGAGCAGGAGCAGGAGCAGGAGCAGGAGCAGGAGCAGGAGCAGGAGCAGGAGCAGGAGGAGCGTAGAAGACAGTTCTCACCCTCATCCTTGTAAGCGCTGCTGTAAACTTTCCCCCGCAAACTTCGCAAGCGCCATCGACAGTCTCCTCCATTGCGACAGCACAAACCAAAAAAGAACAAAAAAAAGAAGAAGAAATGAAAAAAAAAAAGAAAGATCCGACAAGGAGGTAGGATCTGACACCAATGTGAGGAAGGGAGAGGAGAGGAGAGGAGAGGAGAGGAGAGGAGAGGGGAGGAGAGGAGAGGGGAGGAGGAGGAAGAGGAGGGGTCAAGAAGAAGAGGAGGAGGCAGGAGAGGGTTTGGGGGGGGGGGCTGGAGGATGAACACAGCAAGGAGGGAGAAAGGGGAGTGAAGGCGAGTGAGGCCGTGGGGCGGAACAAGAGGGGTGAATGAAGGAGTCAGGGAAGAAAAAGCAGCGGGGAGAATCAGGTCAGGGGGCAGAGAGGAGAGCTGAGGTGGGGAGCAGCAGTGCATGATATGGCTGAGCCAAGGGATGAAGAGTTTTGTGAATCTGACGGAAGGATTTCGCAAGGGTGTTGCAATGTTTGGACCCGCCACCATGCTGGGAGGATGAGGTTGAGGACTGAGCTATGAGAGAACGGATCTGGGAGACGATAGGCATCTTGTTGCTCTTGCTGCTGGTTCCCTCGCCATCGGCCAGGGCATCATACCCAGTCGCGTTCGGGAGGTCCACGATGGATTTGAGGGGAGGAGGAGAGTTTTTCAGGGGGGCAGAATCGAGCGGGATGGAGGTTGACGAGGAGGTGAGAGGATCCAGGGGGGCTGCTGTGTGCTGAGATGAGCTGCGGCAGAACGCGGACAAGGGAGCGATACTTCGAGCAGCTGCGCAGGAGGGGAACTTCGACATGCTGCAGATGCTTCTGCTTCATGGAGCAGCCGTCGACGACGCGGATCCCGACCTGCAATGCACGTCCTTGCATCATGCGGCGAGATATGGTGGAGGCAGCGGTACCTACGGAGGAGGCTCGCTGACTGTTCCTTCAGGAGACGTCAGGTGTGTGGAGCTGCTGATAGAGCATGGCGCAGACGTGAACGCAGCGACGAGGAGGTGAAGGAAAGTCTTTTCCCGCTCCTCTTGACCCTCTCCAGCGGCTTCAAGCCCATCCACTTTGCATCCGCGCATGGCTGGGGCCAAGTCGTCAACGCGCTCGTGTCGGCAGGTGCGGCTGTGATGGGGGGGAAAAGGGCGTGCTTTGCTAACGAATGAGGGCAGGAGCAGACATCGATGATGCCGTAGCCCTTGACTTGTCCTTCGACGCTTCTCCACAGAGTCCTGAGGAGGAAAGGTACATGCAAGCCTTCAAGCTTGCTGCTTGCTTGAAGCAGTATCCAAACATGCCGACCAAGTGCATTGAAGTGCCGCAGAAAGGCTCTATGGGTAAGGATTAAAACCAGAATGCGGCATGTTGAAGTACTCCTAGCAACATACAAGGGGGAGGGGGGCAAGGGCTCAAGTGAAGCTGATGTACAATCTTACGTGAACTGACATTTCTACCGGGATGTGAGATTCCGATCGATCGATCCAGCATGACCATGTGATGGACAAAACATCGATGATCCCCCCAATGAGGATAAGAGATGCACTAGACTATTGCTATGCACACGTGAACATTTACAGTCTTTGCCTCAGTCGCCTTCTCCAACAACCTTGTCCTGCACCCGGTCTTCCTTCACCTCAGCGTTTGTTCCTTGGATGGGTCCGGCTGAGACTTGAACCCGCCGGTGACCTCCCTGTAGTGACCGATCAGCGAGACTGGAAGAGACTGAAAGGAAGTGCCTGTTCCCCTCGACAAGCCCCAGGGGCTCAAAGAATCCTCATGGCGCAGGATGGTCTGGATGGGGGAGGCTTCCAGAGTTTTCATCGTGTCGTCTATAGACAACTCGTTGTCTGACAACCAGTGGATGTTCGACAGAGCCTGGAGACAAGCTCAGTCGGTGATGCCTGTCGGATCGGGCAAGGTGAAGCAACCATTGCCTGACGATCGCTCCCGCCCGTGAAAGGAACAATCGGTGAAGGATCTGCAAAGGATATTCAAATGAAGGCCTACTCAGCACCGGGTGAAACTCACTGCAAAGATAACTCTGCTGTAGAAATCAAAAGCGTGCAGTTAGAGCGGACCTTTTACACATGAAATCAGCAAACCTGATCGGATTCCTTTGATGGAAGTACTGTAACGCTGTTAGATCTTGGTTTCTGCTGATTGGACCTGGGAGCCAAGAAATCTGTAAAGATCAAGTATTCAAAAGTAACAAATGAAATTTACTTGCTGGATTGTGAGTTTGTAGTCAACAACGGGCTTGCTACACGAGTGTATGGCGTACGCGGGGCTCGACCATGGTTTCTTGACTCGTTTCGGCTTCTAACCCTACAGAAATCTCAAAATGATTCTTAATGGATTTCACCAGAAACTCCTTACCACCATCGATCGTTGACCAACTTGTTCGTTGTATTGTTGATGTCATGAGCTTCTTCATCATCGTCTATGATCTCGTTTTCTTGTTCTGATCCTTGGACAAGGACTGTATACATTTTGTTCTGCCAAGGTCGCATCACAGAGCCAACACTTCAGCTGTTTTGACCTGATACATCCTTCGATCTTGGTAATGTTTGTCCATGTAAGATTCTTTCTTCTGTTCTGTGGTGTCAGTTTCCTGTCATGACATCCATCCGATTACATCAGGTTTGTTTGCAGTCCTCGCTCGTAGCACATGGTGCGAAGCTTCGAACATTCCGGGTGACTGAGCGGACTGCTCATGGTTCTCCGTTCGCATTTTTGCGATGCTCGGCTGTAGTTCGTCGATCTGAGACAAGTCTTGTGTGGGAGACGGCTGAGGCGATTCGTATCTCTTGACGTCGGCTCTGGACCTTATCTTGCTACTTGTCAATGCTGCGCGTGCAGTGCAGAGAGAGTCTTGGATAACGATGTTGTTTTGGATGCTCTCCACAAGGCTTGACCTCCTCATCGGCTCGGTCGAGAGCCGTGGCTCGTTCCCCCGATCACTCGATGACGGCGAGTAGACTTTCTTGTTGTTGCTCAACAGCCTGTTCAACATTCTACTAGCAAACTTCAACTTTTCTTCCCTGCTGAATAGAAGGCCTGTATCAGGCATTACGCTGAACTGTGTCAAGTTTGACTTGCTATCGGGCTGTGACAGTCTCGATGAACCCAGCGCTCTATGGCTGCTCGCCACTTGGAACTGGAAGGGCTTGCTCCTGCAGTTACGTCAGTTCCCTGGCATGGCAGGAGGACGGCAGCAGGAAACCTGTTGAAAGAGCGGAGGACCCACTCAGTGTTCTTGGGTTCTCTTAGCAGCCAGTCTCCCCTTCGCTCCTCCTCTTCTTCAGTTGCCCCCTTTCTCCTCCGCGGCACATTTCCTGCCGCCATTCCTCCAGCAGGGGTGCTGAACATTGACAAGCGGTTGAAAAGGCCCTGGCCCGGCGGGCCGGCGGGCCGGGGCCCAGTCCCAGGCTGGCCCGGCGGAGTGCGCCGCCGCCGCGGGGATGACTCCCGGGGCGGCTGCCGTTATACACTCTCCGAGGTATCAGTTAAGTTTGGGGGACAGCAGTCGGCAGGATTAGGTTTGGTTCTCGCTGTCTTTTCTCTTCTCGCCGTTTGGCCTGTGCGACATCCTGATTGTCCTCGTACTGCTTCTCGGAAGTCTCCGACACGACCACCCCGTGACATCCAGACACCCGGCGCACATCATTGTGATGCCGGGGCATGCGATCAGTGACTGAGTCACTTGGGGACGCCGGGCCCGGCCGCGCCCGGGCCCAGCCTGTGTCGGCCGCCGGCCCGGGCCGGGATCCGGCCCGGGGGCCGGCCCGGACCCGGGGCTTCGGCTGACTTACAGTTACAAAACCGTTATTACCAACTCAGTGTTGGGGTATATCAAAACATCCGCATCGGGGGGTGGGGGGTGGGTTTTTGTGTTGGGGTCGGGATGGCACAGTTGATGAGACTCTTCATGGCGGTGGCGGCGATATGGGGTGGAATGCTGCCCTCCTCCTCCTCCTCCTCCTCCTCCACCACCACCACCACCATCTCATCATCATCGTCATCATCGTCATCATCGTCATCATCATCATCATCATTTCTATCGTCCTTGCACTCCTTGTCCTTCCCCCCAGTTATTCTTTCTCTCGCCACCAGGTCACAGCTTCCTCCTTTCATGACGTGCTCGTGCGCCTTTGCCCAGCCTCTCTCATTCATATTCCTTCCCACGGTCCCCGATCTTCGGAGGAAGCCGCTGCACTCTCCACGAGTTACGAGGCAGTGCCCCATGGACGTTAAAGGAAGATTCTATGCCCATCTCAATGTAAGGCTCCCGTTCAGGACACACTCATCCGACAGGCTGGTGATCCGATCGCTCTCTCCAGGGCACAGCTCCAAAGGGGTCATCCTCCTCAGCGCCCCCCAGCAAGCGATCGAATGCTGCAGCTACCTGAAGGACCTGGGCTCCTGTATGAAGAGCGGGAAGTGCAACTTCGACGAGGCCATAAGCATCTTCGTGCAATCTCAGCGTTCTTGGTCTATCCTTGAGCAGAAAGAAGCGCTGGAGTCACTGGCGACCTGGTATGTTCAGATAGCGCAGAAGGAGCAAGGAAGTTTGTCGCATGTGGATCAGCTCTTGCAGCTTGCTTCCAGCCGACGCCTGTTCTGCTCCCACAAGTTCTATCATTTGCTCCTGGCAGTCATTGTGGAGTTGAGGAAGCAAGGTTGCTGCAAGATTTACGATGGGGAGAGGATCCTGGGAGAGATGGCCGCGCAGGGAGTGCCGCCGGACGCGTCCACCTTCGACTTGTTTTTCAAGATCATGTCGAACAAAGCTCAGGACAATCCAGTCGGTTCCAACGAGTTGGAGGCCTTTCGGAGAAGAGCAGCCTCTGCAGGAGTGAAGCTGAAGGTAGGAACTTGGATCTCGTTGGCTCAGTTCTTGGCCGAGCTTGCAAGTGAGGGCAAGGCCTGCGGGGAGGATGCTATCAAGATGTTGGATGAGTTCTATAGCGTGAAACGGACTCGAGTATCAGTTCGTAGCCAGACCGTCTTGTACAACTCTGCAATGCTGGTTGTTGCCAACAGGATCCGAGGCTTGGAAGGCAACGAGACAGCTGCTTCCTTGGAGTTCACTTACATCCAGAAGGTTATGGAGCACATGCAGAGCAATGAGGTCAAGCCCGATGTCGTCACGTTCAACACTGCCTTGAGCGCATACAGCACTCTAAGCCAGCTGGGAATCGTGACGTTTAACAGCTCAATGGAGCTTGTCAAGAGAATGAAGCTGATCGAAATTCAGCCTGATGTCATTTCGTTTAATACTCTGATGAAGATTTCTTTCGACTCGGCTGACCTCAAGAGCACCATAAGAAAGAAGAAGAATCTGGTTCCTGCGACGCAGAGTCTTCGAGAGATCGACGAAATATTCCAAGTGATGAAAGAGTTTGAAGTGAAGCGTGATCTTGTGTCTTTCAATACTCTGTTCTACTCTGCTGCCCAAGCTTGCAAGAACGGGGTAGACTACAACGGGAGTCAATCGTTGATGTGGTTGGATGAGATGCGCTCTATCGGAATTATGCCGGATACAGCATCATTGAACTCTCTTCTGATGTTTGTTGGAAGTCTTTCTTCACGTGGCAAACTGAAGGTAGAAGAGATCTGGACGGTAGTTCAAGAAGCCAACAAGCTCGGGGCAGTGTGTGACATTCAGTCTTACAACCTCATCCTGTTTGCGATTGCTGGAGCAATATACCACGACAAGGCAGCGATGAAGGACGTGAGATATGTGCTGAAGACGATCGACGATGCTGGGCTGACCATGAACACCTACACCTGCAACTCCCTCTTCGAGATCATGAGCCGCATAGCGAGCCGCAGCCGTCTCAATAAGGACGCTCCTTCCATCACCATCAAAGACGTCCGGGAGATCTTCCGGGAGATGAAGAGCAAGAGCATTGCCATGGACGTTGTCACTTTCAACAGGTCGCCTCTACCTCCTCCCCTCTTCCCTCTCTGAACCTCACTACAGTGCCCTCTGCTGTGTTACTGCCCTGGCCAAGTCCAACGCTGCGAGCATTCGGGATGCTGAAGATTTCATCTTTGAGATGAGGAGGTTGAGCATCTCCCCGGACATCATCACTTACACCAAGTTCCTGGAGGTGAAATGACGACTCTTGCAGTCCACCACCACCACCACCTCCTCCTCCTCCTCCTCCTCCTATCCCACCTTCCACTCGATTACCTTCCTCTTCCTCACCTTCCCTAGTCTTCTCCCTCTTCTTCCTCCTCGTTGCCAATCTCTGCCCTAGTCCAACCTTCATCATTTCTCCTGATAACCTCAGTCTCAAGCTCGCGCGGTTTCTTAACCATCCTTCCCATCTTCCTGTCGCTCGCTCCCTCTCCTGCTCTTTTCTGTCGCTCGCTCTCTTTGAACCTCTCAACTTTTATCAGATCATCGCCGTACAAGCCAAAGTCGGCAAGGTGGACGTGAGGGAGGCAGAGCTGGTGATGTATCAGATGCAGCAGGAGGGCATTAAACCCTCGCTGGTCACCTATAACGTGCTGATGGAGGTCAGGATTGCTCGACTCGCTTCCCTTCTTACTTTACTGCAGGCCATGAGCGGCTTCTTAGCATGGAGGAAGGCGAAGTTTGAGGAGGCAGAAGCAGTTCTGGAAGCGATCGAGGCAAGGGGATACACGCCTGATGCCTACACCATCACCTACTTCTGCCATTGTGCTCGTCTGACAGGGGGAATGAGGCAGGCGTGCTCTTGGAGGGCAGCAGATGTGCTGACTCGTCCTCCAGGATGGTCACTCCCCAGCGTGTCAATGCGGTTCAGCGGGCATGGGTGGTTTTCAGGAACCTAAGGATGAGCAAGAGGACGACGGTGACAGGATGGAGGCTGACGAGAGTTGAACCTGAGCTCCTGCTGTGCAGGTTGCGTATGCAGCTATGATGGATGCCTTCGGAGCTGTCGGAAGGAACCAAGTACGTCTGCTCCCTCCTCTTTCCACCCTTCCTCCCTCCTTCTCTCATTCACTCTACTTGCTCAGGTTGGCTTGGGGCTCCTTGACCTTGCAGAAAGCCATGGCCTCATGCCAGACACGGTGATGATGAACGCGGCGCTGCGATGGTAACTCGACCTGTCTCCCTCCTGGCCTCTCTCATGCTGCTCCCTAGCTGCGTCGATCACAAGGAAGTCGAGGAGATCGTTGCCAAGATGGATAGGATGCACATACCCAAGAACAGGTACTGGCCCCTTTCAGCCTCGTCCTCCCGCTGACCCTGAGCTATCTAGCGGGACCCTCAAGCTGATTGAGAGGGCCAGGCTTGGAGCCGATCTCACTCTCAACTACAAGTACTTCCGATGACTCGTTGAAATCTTCAACTTTCAATCGCAAACTTTGAAAACACGCTGCTGGCATTAGCCACAACTACATGTGGGTATCGATCTCCTAACTTCACTCCCTGCTTACATCCGTCCCTTCCTCCGCCTCACGAGTGGATTGGCTTGTCATAGCAGGCCATAGCAGCCTCCTTGATGGCCTGAGACCCCCATCAATCGACGCAAGTCAACAACAGCCTTGACGTACCTCTGACAAGGTCGGATGTGCATGGCAAGTGCGAGCAATGTCCTCGCAAGATGCTCCGTACTCGATAGCGAGACCAGCCTCGTGGATCTGCTCGCCAGCGGCGTTGCTCATGATGTGCACACCGAGGATGCGATCAGTCTTCCTGCGAGGAAAGCATGAGGATCAGGATGACTGGCTGTTGGAGGGTCTCACTTGTCCGCCAGGATCTTGACCATTCCCTCGGCGGAGGCGACAGCTCTTGCGCGGCTGTTAGCGAGGAAGGGGAACACTCCCTTGGAGTATCTGCGACAAGAAGCGTCAGGCACGAGCTGGTCCCATGAACAACTACTCACTCGATCTTCGCCTCCTGGAGTTCCTCCTCAGTCTTGCCGACAGAAGCAACCTCAGGGTGGGTGTAGATGACCGAGGGGATCGCGTCATAGTTGATGGTTCCGTGCTTTCCTGAAATTGCCTCCGCAACGTGAACACCCTCCTGCCGGCACGAAGTGATTTCGTCAGCTCAGAGCAGAGCTAACAAGGGCTCGCAACCTCTTCAGCCTTGTGCGCGAGCATGGGGCCCCTGATGCAATCGCCGATGGCATAAATGTTGCCAACCTTAGTCTTGAAGTGATCGTCGACCTCGATCCTCTTCTTGTTGTCAAGGGTGACTCCAACCTGAATGGCCGATCATCAAGGCTCCACCCCTCGAACTTATCCCATCACCTTGTCCAGGCCAAGATCCTCAGTTCTGGGTCTGCGACCAACAGACACAAGGGCGACGTCGGCCTCAAACTGCATTGAATTCCTCAGTCTCGTCGTCCTCTCCTCCCTCTGTCCCGCTGACCTTCTCCGGGGTACCACCAGCAGCCGGTTCCATGGTGATGGTCACACCATCCTTGCGAATATCGGCAGCGGTAACCTGCGAGCGAGGAATCTGCAAAGCGCAACGCCAGAGAAGGAGGAGGTACCTTGGTGCTCATCTTGAACTTGAAGTTGAGGTTCTTCTTCAAGGACCTCTGGAAAGCGGTGATCAATTCCTGTCCACCAGTCGTCACTTCACGGACAAAGGTCTAACTCGTTGAAAAACCTTGTCCATGGTTGGGCAAAGCTTGTCCATGAACTCGATCACAGTGACCTGCACTAGAGTTCAAACAACGAAGTGTCTTGTTAAAGATGATTGGAGATAGTAAGAGTCATGTTGAAGATAATGCAAGATGGAAGATAGACTTGACACATTCTCACATTGGCGCCAAGTCGGGCCCAAACAGACCCGAGCTCCAAACCGATCACACCTCCTCCAATGACCGCCAACGTCTTGGGCACCTTTTGAAGCAGAGCTCGATCAACTACAGACTTCAATCAGAGATGTCTTGTCACCTTGTCGAGCAGAAGAGCTCCAGTGGAAGAGACGCAAGTGCGGTCCGTGAAGTCATTAAAGGGCATGAAAGGCAACTCAACAGGCTCTGAGCCAGTGGCAATGATTGTGTTCTTCGCTTTGATGTTGGTCTTCTTGCCATCAAGCCCCTCAACCTTGTGCGCAGACAGTCAGAACATGCTTCTGAACATTTTGACGCTAACGGCTAAATGTCTTTGCAAAACAGCAAGTACATAGCAATACACAGGCACAAAACTAAGAGCATTAGTTGCATACCTCGATGGTAGTAGCATCAACAAATCTCCCATATCCCTTGGCATATTCGACCTGGAAAACCCATTAGATGAATCTGTCACGAGCTAACGAGCCTACTTTGTTCTTCTTGAACAATCCCTCAATACCCTTGGTCAAACCTGTAAATCCAGTAACTCTACAACGAACAGCCCTTCTTCCAATCAAGCAGAGGTATCTAACCATCCACAGCAGATTCTTTTTGAGACATCATTGTCTTGATGTCCAAAGTAACGTTTCCAACATTGATACCCTGAAGTCAATTCAGCGCTGCCTTTAGCACGTGCCAACAGCTCACGTAGTTCTTGAAATGAGACGTGGCATCGAAGTACATTTGAGAGGAGTTGAGGAGGGCCTTGGAGGGGATACACCCGACATTCAGGCATGTCCCACCGAGAGCCCCTCGCTTCTCAATGCAGATAGTCTTCAAGCCCAACTGTGCAGCCTTGATGGCCGCGACGTAACCGCCCGGACCACCACCAATGACCGCAACATCGAAATCTGGAAATATTCCTCCATCAGAACACTCCCAAATCTTTTGAGGTCATGAATCAAAGTCACCTCCTCCAGTAGAGAAGTGGCGAACAGCTGCACGCACAAAGAAGACCTGTGCAGAATCATGCGTTAATCCTTTCACAAACTTTGCAGGCATCTTGCTCGATTCGGTTGTCTCCACCGACAGCTTTTGTTCCCTCGAACTAACTTTCTTCTATCCCACACTCTCACCATGGCTCTTGCTCACTAGCATGGACTTACGATCGATAGTTATCAACCAACAAAACAAAACAAGCACCAGCATCAGCATCAGTACCATCACAAGCACCAGCATCAGCATCAGTACCATCATAAGCACCAGCACCAGCACGCTTGTCTCCTGTTCATGTTATCCACTTCCATGCCCCCATCCTCATCCTCATTCTGTTCCTGTTTCTCACTTTCTGTTCGTGTCTGCGTCTTGCTATCTTTGATTCTTCGCTCTGTAAACCATCTCCTCCTCTTCCTCCTCTCCTCCTCTTCCTCCTCTCCTCCTCTTCCTCTTCCCTCACCCGTCCGCGCATCGCCGACAGCATCTCCGCGCGTCCTTGCAACCCAATAACCCCCACCCCCACCTCCTCACCCCCATTCCACCACCCCCACTTCCCAACCCACCCCCTACGTCCCCTCTTTCAAATCAAGAGCACCCCGTTTCATCCAACAAGACCCTACTTTGTCAGCACCACCCGTTCGAAATTTACCCCTACCCACAATACTAGATACCCTACCTGTCTTTCTCCGTTGCAATATTGGTAATATATACCAGTGATTCTGTACTACCTACCCCTTAAATTTCACCCAGTTTGAAGCAGACCCTATGCAATTCCTTGCTTCGACACCTACCCTAGTCCATGGCAAAGAACCCTACCCTAGCTGTGCGCTTATTTGTGCTGACACCACCCTTCGTTATGTTTTGGAAGGACAGCAACTTAATTTTGTTTGGTGGATACAGGAACCATATAAGATGATACACTTGCTGCCCAACTATGTTCATTAATTAAATTTTGGTGAGTAAAATTGAATTACCCAGGATCTCCTACCCCACCCCCGCAAATGAGAGAGCACAACTCACCTTGGCACAGGAGGGGTACAGACAAAGGATGTTGTAAAACCATGGAATTAAGGGGGTAGGTGGTGAGAGGGGGTGGGTGCGGTCTAGGGGAAGTCTCTAGAACATGTGATGATCTCCCTGGGGTGGGGTCCAGAACCCTATTTACTTTCAGTCCGAGGTAGGGGTGGGTATATACCCACCCTATGTCATATGAGACCGATTGTCTTCAGTACCGGTACTCTCTCAGTCGTCAGCCCGTTACACCGTTGCAGAGATCCTCCAGCAAACGGTTATTTACCGTTATACCGTCGCTCCATGGAGATGAGCCTGCCTCAGCCGTTCCCAAAGGAAACCAATAGCCTCCACCCCACCCTTTCATCCACCACCCCCTTTCTCGACTACCCTTCATACTATAACCCTCTATTTTCATACATTTTTATCATAAAATGACCGGTCCTGAGGAGAACTACTACCCCTACCCTAATTCATGGCATCGATCTCACCTGGCATACCCCTGACTTCCCCCATACCCCGGCCTGTACCTCAAGACCACCGTTACAATGGCGATCCTCCTCCTGCCCCCCTCCTGCTCCCCTCCTGCTCCCCTCCTTCTTCCCAACTACTTCTCCTCTTCCTCTTCCTCTTCCTCCTTCTCCTTGACGATGTCTGACTGAAGCATCCTTTCGTAATCTTCCTTGTGCTATTGATTCGTGATATGTTGTACACCTCAACCACGAAAGGAAATGACTGGTCGCTAAGGATTGCTTGTTTTCGGTGTCGCTGCTATACTGACATCTCACTTCACGTTCGATGTTTTGCGATCATTTGTGTATTTCCTCTGCTGGTGACTGTATGTGCTTGTAATGATCTCCCATGCCAATTTCGCTCCTTCTTTGATATATTGCAAGACAACCCGCTATTGTTTTCCTGAACCTGTTGCTTACTGCCCTGACATGTTTGGATCTTAACAGAGGCAGATGGAAAGAGGGATGCAAAGATGCAAGGCCTCAATCGAAGACCTGCAGCTTGCTTTCTTATGGTTAGTCCCTCCCCATGTTCTCCTAGACGAGAGTTGATCCGCGATGTTTCAGCGGACTTCATGACAGGCTCGGGAGCGTGAGCCCAGTGAAACGTCTGCATGTTGACATGTGCAAGTACATAGCTCAGGTAAGATGGTTGTTGTCGACCTCACCTTCGTGATGCGTCGAAGTAGATCGTTTGTGTTCACTTACGAGGTTTCTGATTGCTGAAACAGGAAGCAAAGTACTTTCACGTCTCACACGTCAAGAGAGGTTCGTGATCATTCCCGTTGCTGCTATTGTTATTTCGTGTCGTGTCGTGTCGTGTCGTGTCGTGTCGTGTCATGTCCTGTCCTGTCCTGTCCTGTCCTGTCCTGTCCTGCCCTATCGTGTCCTGTCCTGTCTTGTCTTCCAACCCAAGTAACCCGATATCCCTACCAACAGAGCAAGACTTTGCAACGATCAGCTCGGCGATCAAGGAGGTTCCGGAAGGGAGGTGTGGGTTTGAAACCCTGCCGATCGGAACCCTTGTTGTCTGACACTTGGACTTCAGCGTTATCTTAGTGCATGAGGGCGAATACACGGAAAGTCAAGGGCTGAAGATCTGCAAACGACTGACACTCCAGGCATCAAGTAAGTTCCTGCCGCTTTCCCTCCTTGTCCCCTGTTGCGAAGTTTGAGTAAGAGGTGGGAGAAGAGAGAAAGTGGGAAGTACAGAGAGATGGAGAGGGATGAATGGAGTGAGCGAAGAGGAGGAGGGAGGCGAGACAGGGGGAAAGTGTAACTGTGTGATTGTTTTCGTAAGGATAGGAAGGGATGGTAGGGTTGACATGTGGGGCAAGATTGAAGACGACAGCAGTGGAGAGCATGACTGAAGTTCTTTTGACATCTCCTCACAGACTACGAGCGGGGAAACTCATTCCTGAAATGCTCCCTGGGGGGCCTGGCTGACAAAGATGACATGTCCAACAAGCTGAAAGAAGTATCCTCCTCCAGCTCCTCTCCCTCCTCTCCCTCCTCCCCCTCCGACCTCGAGTGGCCCGAGGAGCTGCTCATGGCGATCCCTCCGACGCTGGGAGGAGGGATCCTGGCCGGTCCCATGGACGAGCAGGAAGACGGAGGGAACAGGGAGGAAGAGGAAAGAGCAGAGGAGCGGTTAAGAATCCGGTCGAGGCTGCAGGAGGAGAAGGAGGGCAGGGGGTTGGGAGGATCGCGAGTGGTGATGAGGATGTGGAGCGGGGACAGCAAGGTTCCCCCAAGGTACCTGGTGTGCGTCGTCGGTTCCCAGACGCACGTAGAGATCAACGGGCTCACGATCATGCTGCTGGGAGGACGGAGACCAGAGGAGGCGGAGGGGGCGAACGCTGGCGATCGCTGCGAAAGCAGGGAGGAGGGAGGACGAGGGGAAAGAGGGGAGGGAGGGGAGGGAGGGGATGGACGGGATGGGGGGGCGCCGGATGGAGGAGAGAAATCGTGCACATGCGAGGAGGAGGTAAGATGGAGATGATGATGGAGATGATGATGGAGATGACAATGATGCTGATGATGGAGATTGAGATGATGTTGATGTTGATGTCTGAACGTGATCACCAAGGTATTGGTCAAGTTGGTGGTGACTTGGTGACGTAGTGTTGTTGTTGACGATGGTGATGATAGTGGAGAGAAAATTGATTTGTGACAGTTTCCAAACATCCGACATCGTCGAAAATGCTGCCTTGAAATCTTGAGTGGAAAAATTTTTCTGTCCAAGTAAGTTTGAGATGTCCTATGTACCGCATGAGCTTTCTTTTTCTTTGTTCTATTCACCACAAGAACTTTTATTTCCCTCTGCTCTTTCTACCCTTCCCTCTCCAGCAGCCCTTGCCCCCGCTGTCTCCTGCCTTCGCTCTTCCATTCTTTCTCGTGCGATTTCTCACCTATTCTCTGCCTGCCTGCCTGCTCGCGCCTGCCTGCTCCGTTATTCTGTGATGACTTGTTCCTGTTCAACTACATCTCATTCGCCCTCTTCATCCTCGTTCAGATGTACCATCTTCTCGGAAGAGCACGATGGTATCACTGTCCTCGGTAGTGCGAAAGCCCTTTTGGTCGACACACAGGCATGTCCATCCCCCGCCCTCCTCCTGCCTCTTTCGTTCTTCTTCTATCACCTTCACTTCTCCTCTCTCCTACTCCCCTCACATCTTTCAACTCCTCTCCTCCTCTCCTCCTCTCCTCCTCTCCTCCTCTCCTCCTCTCCTCCTCTCCTCCTTTCCCTCATCCGATCCTGACTCTCCTGGTCTTCCTCCTTTCCTCCCCCTTCTCATCAGGTCTCAATGTGCGGCAAACATGGAGTAAGCGCTCTTCATGGAGCTCTTGTTGAGGTAAATATGAATAGAGGGGAGGAAGGAGAGGGGAGGGGAGGAG